GTTATATACCGTCGGCATAAATGTGATTTAATTGATATGTGAATGTAATATGAGATATTGGTATGCGTTTGTTGATTATTTGTTGATAAAAATCTGTATATGCAAGACTTATTGGGTGCCCAAGGAAATAGTAGATGGGCCCGGCACATAGAAAATCCTACCATGAACGTTATCTCAGTCGAACAGGGCTGGAAAGTCCTTACCAGAAAAGTTTGGGAGATATGGTTCACCCTCATATCAGATAGGGTATTGAGGTAATAAAATATTTGGCGTCCATTACCAGACAAGGTATAGGGATGATCGGTTAATCATAAAATTGGATATTGGGTTCACTAGTAAGGGGAGATATCCCTATGGACCTCTAGAGATACTTGTAAGCAGATAAGAAAAAAAACTTATTATCTCTTGTTCTCGTATGCGTAAAAGTGAAAAGTAGTATGGATATAAGTTTTCATAGGTTGTTTTTGAAAAATTCATTACGGTAAGTATCAAACAAATATTTTTAAATTTAAAAGTATTTAAATAAAAAAATGGCTCCTTTAGTTATTTTTTTATTTTTACCAATCTTTAGTTTTTTGTATATATAATTATTGTGATATTCTTACTGGACTAGTGTAGCTCATCTTTTCATTAACTATTTCAGATCAATAAGATCAGAATCCAGATCCCGATCAGCAAGAGGGTTGCGAGTAGTTCATCACCCAAACTCTCTTCAAGTGCTAGTGAAGGTTGTTCTAATGCACTTTTGTATTCACTCTTCTTTTCATTTATTTAATTACCGTTTGTCTTTTAAAAGGAATATTCTCGTAACTCTATTGGGTATTCTAAATTATTGTGTAAGAAATGTAAACTTTAACTCTATTAATCGATTTATTTAAGTTCTGGACTTTCACATAAAAATTGTTACGTGTTTGAATGTTTTAATAAACAACTAAAAATAATTTTACTTAATTAATTAAATTAATAAATTAATAAGAATTTTAAGTTACTAATTTATTTAATTAATCAAAAGTCATTCTTGGAGTTGTTTTTACAGTGTTCAAATATTGTCTTATTAGTTTTAATTTTTTTATTATAAGAAATAGAAGAAAGTCGAGTTTTTGAAAGAAATAAAAAATATTAAGAACTATATTGTAATAAAAATATATTAACGATCGAATTATAACATGTGTCAAATTTTAAAAATCAATTTGGTAATTTGTTCAAACACTATTATTATAACTCGTGAATTACTCGTTCTATTATAATTAAGTCTCAAAAATATTGTTATTATATTTTAATTCTTGATTTCGCATATTTTAAAAATATATGATCATTTTATGCAATAATGAATTATCTAATAGAACATTACATAAATTCTTTTTGTTTTACCAATATCTTATTTTTAATAAAAACTAAAAGTTATAAATTTATTTTATAAATGTTTCATATATCAAAGCAGTATAGTTTTCACCTTCTTAGACAAATTGATAGGTGACAAAAATTATTTCTATTTCATCAATACCTTGTTTTTAGTGAAAACTAAAAGTTTATTTCATGCATGTTTTAGAGGTCACGATAATGTAGCTTCCACCTTGTTAGACAAATTGTTATAAATTTAGATTATAGTTTAGTTTAAGTGTCAAATGATTCAAATTATTGCTCACATGTAATATATATTACCAGTATTACATGTTGATAGTAATTAGTAAAAGCATAAATGAAGAATTATAATATAATTATTGAGTATATAATATCATTAAATAGTCTTAATTAATTGATGTACATGTGTCACACCAAAAAAGTTATAAATTTTTTTGATTTTACTCATTTAGAGAAGATAAAAAATACAATAGCAATAATAATTTTTTTAAAATTTTTAATTCTTAATCCTAAGTAGAATAACTAATTTTTAAGCTATTTTTTATGTCATCCAAGTAGGAAAAAACTGTAACATCCACCAAAACCTTTTTTTTTTCTTCATTTTTTATAAATAAATATAATTATTTATTTATTTTATTATATTTTATTTTATTTTAATTTAATAAAAAAATAGAGTAAAAGTTATTAAGGATTAAATTGAAAATAATTTTCAGAAAAATGAGTGAAAAATTAGGTTCGGGGGGTATTTTTGAAAGAAACATCAGAAATCAGATGTCAAAATGCAATTTAAAAAAAATTTACCACGTCAGACAATCGGTCAGCAGTCCCGACCAACCAAGACGTGCTAAGTGGCAAAGGTACTGACGCGGGAGGCCACGCAGGGGGAGCCACATGGGCGATCCACGTGCGCGCGATCGAATGGCTGAGGCCCATTCCTGCGCGCACGAATGGCCGAAAGTGAATCGCAATAGATGGCCCAGATTGGATCGTGATGAACGGTCCAGATTCACTCCCTATTTAATCACGATTAGACGGTCCAGATCAAACGCGATGGACGGTTCAAATCAAAAGTGGATGGGTATAAATAACCTCATCCGCACCCAAACCCTAACCTTAGCCGCCAGAACCCATCGCCGGAGAAGATAACCCAGCCGCCAGGAAGCCGACTGCAGCCAACTGCCGCCACACCAGAACCCTTTCTGACTGCCAAAAAAGGTAAAAAAAATTTTTTTTTGGATGAAATTCAATTTTAAGCCCATTCATGGCCGAATCGGAATGAAAGAACCGACCAATTGGCCGAAAAACACTGACGAAGCCCGGCGGCGCCGCCGCAGCGAATTTCACAAATCGCCTCCGATGAGACCCTTTTCGATTCCCGTTTCACGTAACTTTTTCACCGTTGTAATTACTGTTTTCTTCTCTACACAAAAGAGAAACACCCAACCGCAACGTGAGCTGGAGGAGCCGCCGCACCGGAGAGCTCCATCGCTGGTGAGTTTCAATTTTTTGTATTTTTCGGCCCACCGAGGCCCTTTAGCGTGTGTGCTCGCAGGAATCAATATAAAATTGGCTGAAAACGACCGACCCAAGGCAAACCACCGCCGCGGGCGGCGGCATCGTCGCCGGAGCACGGCAGAGGCACCGTACTGGATTTTCGAAATTGGTCGAGTGAGCCTTGGGACTGATTTTGGGTTTATTTAGAACATTTGTAGGTACTATAAGCACGTTTCAGTTTTCGGAGAAAAAATTAGGAAAATCAGGGACCGACTCTAGGCGCAGTAAACTGTTTAACTTTTCAGTGTCAAATTGAGTAAGGACCCATCACCCTATTCCCTATCATAAAATTGAAGTTTAAATAAATAATAATACGGTATTTTATACAAATTAAATAGATGTGCATAACTAATTACAAATTGCTAATAGAGTCCAAACCAGACATTGTTCTTTGTTGATTAATTTTACAATCTAAAAGCATGATACTATCTGATTTATCTATTTTATGGTTTAAATGCATGTATTACTGTCTTACCTGACTACTATTTGATTTGGAATTTGAGACATGATTGTATTACCGGATGTATGTTTATTTATTTATGTGATTATGTTTAGTTTAATAATAGAGACTAAAGGAAAACATGAAAGGGGTATGATCAAATAAACAGATGGAATGACAGTCTTACTAGATATCCTGGGAAATGGTGGACCGACCGGGTACATAGGGAACCCTACCATGAATGTTGTCTCATATCGGACGGGTTATTGAGATTTAATGTCTTGGCACTCAGACCGGACGAGGTATGAGGACGACCTTGTAATTGAGATTGTTAAGAAAAATGGTTCATGTGTAGCGGGGACACCCCTATGAATCCCCATGGATACTAGTAGGCTAGTGAAATGAGAAACAGTTAATATTTGGTTTATTGTTAATGGATATGAATTTATGATATGTTCTATGTCGCTGATTGTTCATGAAGTTATGATTTGTATGGTATTATTGTCTCTATAGGTTATTTTCATAAATTCCACTATGGTTAGTGAACTGTAAATGGTTTTATGATCGATAAACGAATTTGCTAAATTTAGTGCTCTATTAGTTATTTTGATTTTATACCAATATTTGCTTCTGTGCAGGTGATATAGTGTGATATCCTTACTGGACTAGTGTAACTCATCCTTTATCTAACAATTTCAGATCAAGAAAATTTGGTTCCAGAGCCCGATCCGCAATAAGATTGCGAGTAGATGCTAGATACTTTCTATTTTCTATTATTTTTCTTATTTCTCATGTTTCTTTCAGAAAATTCGTTTTGTAATGTTGTTCAGTACTTTTAAGTTATTTTGTAAGGGATGTACACCTTAAAATTTTGTTTCGCTTCCGCACTTAAATTATTATATGTTTCCTTTTGAATTTCTAGGATCATTACAAAAATAATTTTACTATTTTACTAAAAATTCATTTAAAAATTATGTTTTGAAATAAGTTTGTAAAATTTGAAACTAAATTATAAAAAAAAATGGATTGAATTGTAAAGGATCATAGTTTGGTAATTTAATCAATAAAACAAATTGTTATCTAGAAAAAGATTTAAAATCTTATAAATATAATTATAAATCTATATTTAATTCAACCAAAAGATCATACAAATTATATTAAGATGAAAAAATTGACTTTATTTAAAATTTTACTGAAAAATTAAAAATATATTTCAAAATGCACAATATGTTTTTTTTTAATTTTATATAAACTTGTTTTGTTAAAGAAAATTTTTCAGAATGTTCTAATTGAATTAGTATAAATTTAAAATTGACTTGCCCAAAAATTTTTAAACCATTACAACATATAATAAGGTATTTAAATTGAAAATGTCATTTCTGGAAATCGCAATCCTGAACAGGGAGATCAATGTTCCATTACCCAAACATTCACCAAAATACTCCGCGTGCTGCGTGCAGGCTAAGCATCGTTATAACGGCGTCATAAACGACTGACCAACCAACGGGCGTCGAATATGACGAAGCAATAATTTATTTAACAGCGTGATAACAGTTAAAAGGTTCTGTTTGGATCTATAAATTGGCGATCTGGAAGCCGTGTAAGCATTCAAGGACAGCACCTTTTGTTCTCGAGCGAGGGGGGCGCAGATCTCTTTTCTCTCCATCCACACAAAACCTTCTCATTTCTCTCTGGTAATTTCATTTTCCATTTCATCTTCTCTCCATCGTCAATGTTTTTCTAAAAGGGAAAAAAAATTCTCTTCCGATCTCATCAAATTGCCTGTAAGTTTAGCAAAATCAAGTTCTAGATTTGGATCTAAGTTTTGGCGTTGTTTTATATATTTTTTGTTGATCAATTTCTGGATTTTCAAAGTAGTGTTGTTTTCCTAAATCACCTTAGATTTTTATTGTTTTTGGTCATTTTGAATACTGATCTTAGTTTAGTGCATGCTATGGTATGGTAGTTGCAGGATCTATGTTTATGTTGTGAGGATTGTGCTTTTTGTTCTTATAACCATATCGTGCATGATGGATCTATGTCCGTATGATCAGAATTTTGTGATGTTAACTTAGATTCGGATGTAAAACACTTGGAAATGTGTTCGATTGAGCTAGATCTGTTGTGTATTAGGAGTCTTTAAAGGTTAAATCTGATTTTTGATATCTCCTTCGTGGTTCGGTTTCGATCGGTCCTGTTTATATGCTTTTGGGATTTTAGAAATGCCGATATAACTTGATTTCGAATTTGTTGTTGCATCCAGACGCGTAAAGATGGGGCTGTCTTTCACCAAACTGTTCAGCAGGCTGTTTGCAAAGAAGGAGATGCGTATACTGATGGTGGGTCTTGATGCTGCTGGTAAGACCACCATTCTTTACAAGCTCAAGCTGGGAGAGATTGTCACCACCATTCCGACCATCGGTAAGTCCATGTATATGATGTTAGACATCTTTCATGACATTGTTGCTTTGATTTCTGCTGCAGATTGGCTTTTTTTATTTGATGAAAATTCCCAGGAATCTTAAGGATGTCAGTGGAATTTTTAGTATAGAACTTGTTTCATTTCTGTTAGGTGATATATTGCTCTTTGTAGGAAAATATTGTTTCCTTGTGCTTATAAATTGACATTGTTGGCCAGGGAATTTTCACTTCTCAGTTTCAGTAGCTATTTGGAATAAGTTGATAATGGTCTAATATTATGGTTTTCAAGTATCTTTAAGGCCAAAAGGAATTAATAATAAAAATTTTGTAAGTTAATTGAAGAATAAATTAATTTCGAAATCAATTTTTATTTCTAACTAGTTATCACATTTTTAAACTATTTTGAGAAATTTAATTGAATTAAATCACTTTGATTTGGGGAACACAAGCAAGAGGGTGAATGTGTTTTAATCATTTCTTTTCTCTTAAATCTCATGTTTAATTTCAGTTTTCAATGTATTGGTTTGAAGTTTATTCTTATTCCATCCATTTGCAATTCCTTTCAAAATGATTCTCATTGTTTGGAATAATTTTAAAATAAAAAATATGGAGTTGCCGCTAAATTCTGCTCTGTTTTTGGAATTCATTTTTCGAAACATAATTGATGCAATTTTGTTCTTGACCAGCAAACTGTAGTTGAAATTACACTGATGCGTTATCTGATCAGGATTTAATGTGGAGACTGTCGAATATAAGAACATCAGCTTTACAGTCTGGGATGTCGGTGGCCAGGACAAGGTATGTAGATTTAATATTGTTGGTGAACAGGACAGGGTATGTAGATTTAATATTGTTGGTGAACAGGACAATGTATATTGATTTATTTTATAATTAACATGCTTATTCACAAAGAGAGTGCTTATAAGGTCCCGTGCTGGTATAAAATTCATTTGCCAGCACTCTACAATATTATAAGCTAAACTCAAACTAGCCAGTATTTGTATTCTTAGGTTTGCCTTGAACAGAGGAGAATACTTGCTGGCTGACATTTTTCAGTCCAGTGGGCAAATGTTGTTAGTCAGATGATGAAAATGTCTTGACATTTTTCATCAGGGTAATGCAAGAACACAACTTATGTGGACAAAATTTTGCTTATGCACAACCTAGTTCCAGTCTCGTGTTCAGTGGCTTGACATTACCAAAAGTTGACAATCACATTGAGTTCCTTTTTTTGTTCTTATTTTCATTTTTGGCTGTTAAACTGTTTTAATTTTCATTCACCAAAGGCACTATTTCAAAATTTCTCTTATTTAAGCAAGCTTTGGAAGTCGTTCCAGTTTCCTTTTTCTCAAATACTTGGCTACTCTGTTTTGACAGATCCGTCCCTTGTGGAGACACTATTTCCAAAACACACAAGGACTTATCTTTGTGGTTGATAGCAATGACCGAGACCGTGTGGTTGAAGCTAGAGATGAGCTGCACCGAATGTTGAATGAGGTGTGGATGGGGGAGTTATGGAAATTCTGTTTGTTTGTGCAAATGATTAGACTAAGCCTATCATCTTGAAAATTTTAAATATTTTAAAGTGGATATGATAAGTAGTCTGTGCTGGTTAATAGTAGCAATTGTTTCGCAGGATGAACTGAGGGATGCTGTGCTGCTAGTATTTGCAAACAAGCAGGATCTTCCTAATGCAATGAATGCTGCTGAGATAACTGACAAGCTTGGCCTCCACTCACTCCGTCAACGACACTGGTAACATTGCTTATAACCTCTCCTGCACTTTCCCCCAGTTGTTAAGTTCGTTTTGGCAGCAGACTGACTGTATTAGTTGATTACAGGTACATCCAGAGCACATGTGCTACATCTGGAGAAGGGCTCTACGAGGGTCTGGACTGGCTCTCCAACAATATCGCAAACAAGGTAGATTTTTGATCACTCGATATTGACATTGGATTTTGGATGAGTAAGGTGACTTGTATTTGATTAATTTGGAATGATTTTGGTGATGCAGGCATAGATGAGATGAGATGATTGGTTCAAAGTCTTGGGTGGCTACTGGATTACATAGTTTAAGAAGGGTTCTGTTGTGTTCTGGGTTTTTTTTTTTTTTTTTTTTTTTTTTTTTTTTTTCTTGTTAAATTGTTAAGCGTTGTGACCTGTTTTTGCCGTGTTTGTTATTGACCTTGCAAAACATTACAATTTGTTTTCGTGTAGTTTCAGAATAATTCATAAATTTTTGTCCTTCCCGTATGATGATGGCATTGGGTGGATAAAAATTTCCCTTGTTTCTTCTTTTTACCTTGCGATATATTCTTTGTTCATTATGACGGGTGGGAAAATCACAAGTTAAGCTTCAACCTTGTCTGGGTAGTTCGGCTATTTTAGCCTAACTAACGTTAAATGAAAGTCCGTAGTGGAGACAATACATTGATTCTATTTTATTTTTGATAAAGCCTGTTTTTGACGTGCAGAAAAGAAAGTCAATTCAACGATAATTAGTTTAAAACTGAGAGGAAATTTTTTATTCATTGTTGAATTGAAATTAGAATTGCAAATTGATAGATTAATTTCTCTCATAAGTGAGAATTAAATATTTGAACGAAGTTATTTATTGATTTTGAGTTAGTAGTCTGATTTATTATTAATATTTTATTTGCTATTCATTCATTCATATACTTACACTTGAAATCATTTATTATTGAATTGGACAGTGAAGGATAAAAATTGAAATTCACACTTGCTCTTGAAATCATTTATTACTGAATTGAATCATCAACTGGAAGACTCCATTCCTTTCTCTTTGCTTACTGTGCTATTCTGTTACTCCCCCCCCCACCCTCGTCCTAGTCCTATAGATAACCTTTCCCCTCTTCTCCTTCTTACTAAAGATCTGGCAGAAAGAGGAGATCCCCTTGCAAAGAAACAAGGTTTAGCTTCTTCTGCACAAGAGTTCCGATCCTTTAGATCCAATGCAACAAGATCAGCTGCTTTCTCCGGCTCTCTGACCTTGAAACCTTTTAGTTTATCTAGTCAGAAGAAGAGAGTACTCTTATCAATAATTAACTAAATGTATAGATTTCAAATTAAAAGCGAGATGAAACAATTGATGAAATTGTACGCTGAATCCATTTCTGTGATTGCATACATCAGAGTTGGTTGAGTTGGTTGGCTGGTGTGTACAACTGCATTCGTCAAGTAAAAGTACTAATGGTGGCCACATACCTTCTAAGCAACCCGTTGGAAGGGTTTGCATCTTCATTCATACTGTTTCCCAAAGGTGCCGTCCGCGCTTATACTTTACTTTCTAGTAAAGGAACCCTAATATTTTACCTATATTCTAAATATTATGATGCAGAATCTATGGTTAATAATACAATCTGAATTCACACATTTATATTAAGTATAAAAATTTAATTTATAAAATAAACTCTCTCTATTTACCCACAATCAACCTGTGATTGGAATTAAAATAATAAAGATAAACGAATTGATTAAAATATTATAAAAAATATCTTGATAAATTAATATCAACTAAAGAAAAAAAAAAAAAAAGGGCACAAATTGTCTTGATAAGTAGACACTAATTCTTTCTACAACAAGAATGTTAAAGAAACCACATAAGTAGCACACTTAATTAATTGAACTTGACTTGAATGAATATAACAAATGCATGAGAGCTATTTATAGATGTAGGCCGAGAGAATTACAATAGACATTGAACTCCTAAATGATCTATGATGTTTATCTTTAATGCTTATCTAGGACTCCTAAAACAATAAATGCAAACATGTTAAAATACATAAATATGGACCCGTTACTCTTGAATGTAATGCTTGGAATCTTCAAGGATATGACCAACCATATTTTGTTGGAGTAGAGTGCTCAGCAATAACTTCTTCTTGGAGTAGAGTTTCGGTTATGGAGATAACATATAAAATCCAACCAAGTTGTTGTAAGAGAAAAGCTCTTCTTGAAAAAACTGAGCAGGAGAATTGGCCAAGAAGAGGTTGGGGATAAGTTCCTTTGATTCTCCACATGTTCAATATATTTTACACATGTTTGATACGCTTTTGGAAGAGCAGAGTTCAGCTAGGAGACTTTGAGAAGATGCGAGGCCTTCCAATTGCTTGATTCCCGAGAGTCCATGATTTTGTGGACTCTTAGTGTTGCCAATTGAGACTCTTAGTGTTGCCAATTGTGATGAGATGAAGGAGAAAAATCCTCATGAGTGAGAGAAAATTTCTCACGGGTGAGAGAAAATTTCTCACGGGTGAGAGAAAATTTCTCATGAGGAATCAGCCATTTGCCCTTAATTTGTAGGACATTGCATGGCCGGCTCTGCCTTCGGCCAAATGGTCTTGGATTTCCTCTTTTGTAGGCTTCCAACTTTGGCCCAAACGCCTTGATCTCCACTTGGATAGCCATGCCGCCTTGATCTCCACTTGGACAGCCCATGCTGCCTTGAATGGGATGCATCATAGGCTTTTCTCTATGTGGACTTTGCTCAACTTGAATTGGGTCTTGATTTCCACCTATACGGACCTTGCCGTGAGGATTTCCCTTTGAATGGATCTTGCCGTGACCTTCATTATTCATGAGGCCTAAACCGTGACCTCTTAAGCTCATGAGGCCATGATTTCCTTTGTGGACGAGAGCCTTCTCATTTCCTTGAGCTCCCTTGTGGCCTAGTGTAATTTGGCCCACTTTGGTCTCTATCACATTAAGCATGAGCCATTACAACACAAGTTACTGAGTTCTGAAAAGCTTTTCCTTCATCATGCCATACATACTTATAGATGCCTTGACATAATTTTTTCCTCTCTCCCAATCAAATCTAAATCCTGTGATTGGATCCCTTTGAATTATTAGCATGGCAATGAATCCATTTCTCTTGTATTCCAATGGTTATGTTCTTTTTCAGGAACTTTATACCAAGGCCCAAAAATAGCCATCTTGTTCGTCAAGTTCTCAAGGGCCTCACGCTTGTTTGCCAGTTCCATAAGCACCTTGATCCTTCTAAAAGCAACAAAGCTTGGTTTATGCCCCTTTTCAAGCATCTCCAAGAAACATTCCTCTGCTTCCACCAGCTTCCCCAAATCACAAAGCAAATCCAACAACACATCAGACACCAAAGTATACGATCCAAAACCCTTCTCCACCATGTCCTTCCATAAACACAGTGCCATCTCCACATTCTCTTGCCTCCTAGATAACCTTATCATGAACATACAAGACTGTGTATTCGGTAGGCACCCAGCATTCATCATCTTTTCATATAAATCCCATGAGCTTCTCAAATCATTCGACCAGTAAAAAACCCGAAAGAACAGATTGTAGGTAGTGGCATTTGGGCTCAAACCTTTCCTCAGCATCTCATCCATCAACTTATGAGCATCACCAAGCCTCTTCGCAATACAGTAGTTTCTAATAGCAGCATTATAAGCTGCAACATCTGGGTAACATCCATACTCCTTAATTTCCTTCAAAACATCTCTGGCTTTATCAGGCTGACCCACTAACCCCAATCCCCCAATTATGCTTGTATATGTGATGACATCAGGTGATATATCCTCCTCACGCATTTTATCGACCACCTTGTAGGCTTTCTCTATCTCTCTGCCCTTGCAATACACATCAATCAAAGAATTATATGAAACAATATCAGGTTTCACTCCCATCTCCTTCATCTCCCCAAAGAATCCTTCTGCCTCTTCCGATGATTTCCAACCGGACAAAAGTATGTTAAACGTCTGTAAATCGGGTCGGAAATCACGCTTCAAATTATGATAAACATTTCTAGCATCAGACATGCTCTTCTCTTGACACAAAGTCCTCAGCAAAGCATTAAAACAGGTTGTATCAAACACTGAAATCAGCTTCTTGAACTTCTTAAAGGACTCCACTGTCTGCCTAACCGAGCAAACCTTTGCAATCCTACCTAAAACCACTTGCAATGTCCGTGGAGATATCAAGTCTCGATCTTTCCTCTTCGTATCAATCAAAACCTCCCAAATTTGATCAAACTTGCGGCTTCTACCTAATATATAAAGCATCGTATCCAAAGAAAACGCAGTATGATAAAACCCCCTTCTATTCGCCGTGTATTCAAAAAATTCTAAGGCCTGTAAGGGATTGCCATGGCTAAACCTGACCCTTTTCAGTACTTCATCGATCAAATCATTGGAGAGGAAAACCCCACTTGATTCCAACGATTGCTTCAAGTTATCAGATGAGAAAGAGCTGGTGACGATGCGGAAGACAGTATCCACGTCGTCGTTTACATGAGATAGTTGATAAGAGGAGAGCAGTCTAGAAAGAAGCGAAGTTGGGTTTCTTGGATGAGTTTTGAAAGAGAGAGATGGGAGTGGAGAAGCATACCGTGAAAGAATCTTGATGATCACCATAGCCTGTAGATATTGCAATCAAGCGAGGTTCTTTTTCTGCGTTTTCGATTTGGATCAAGTTGGATTGCAGAAGAGATACGCAGAAGCTCAATTTTGAACCGGGCCCTTGGACAGTTAGCAGCTAGGTTTAGCTCTCAGGTCGCGATGTAAGGTACTTTTTGGCGGCACGAAATTTGGATTACTTAGAAGGGTCAATCTTTAAACAATATTTTAACAATGAATTGGTTCTTTAATCTTTTGGTTCAAGCTGCCTACAAAACTTATATTAGTGAAAAAGTCCTTTTTTGCTATGTTTAAGTTTACAAACAGCCTATTTTACCTGTTTTGAAAAGACTCTTAGCTTTCATAGACAATAAGATTGTAAGAGGGTTTCTTAAGATCTTAATGAAGCAACAGAATTAATTTCTGTAGTTCTACAAAAATTTCTCTTCTTCCTCCACTCTCTTATGCTCTTGTTTTCTCTTTTTTTATTGTTTAGTTGTATTTTTTCAAACTTCAATTCTCTTCGATTTTTACTTCCACTCTTCTAAACACATGCTGTAACTATTATCAGATAATACACACATATAACTAACAAGTGGTATAAGAGCTTATATGCTCTTTGAGTGAGCAAAAGCTAGAAACTTTTGTAATTGTAAAACCATTTAAAGCCATAATTTATTGAACATAACTTTGGGTAGTCTATGAAACATTTCTCCACCAGTTTCTAAAAGAGAAAACTATTAATTTTGTTGCTAGAATGAAAGCTCTTCTGAAAGGGATGAATCTACGAAAAGATGTTGAAGTTGAAGATAATATTCCTTGGATTAAGAGAAAACCCGATCATGAATCAAATGAAGCATCATATGAAGGAAGTAACAAAAAAGTACAAGACCCTTTTCCTTAATTCACTTAGCTCTATCTAAAGTAATATTTATAGGGATATGTTGTGTGAAACAGATAATGAAGTTTAAGACAAAACTAAGGATGAATGCCAAAGAAGTGAGAAAATAACGAAAATATAAATAATTAAACCTAATGAAAGAGTTTCAAATCCTTAAGATGAGTGATTCAAAATTTGTAAATGATTTCACAGATAGGGTGATGAAGGTTATAAACCAAGTACAGTTATTTAGAGAAGAGTGGAGGGAAAGGTGCTTGTAAGTCTCTTGGAGAGATTTAAAGTCAAGATCTCCTCTCTTGAAGACTAAGGCTTTTTCAAGATTACTTTAATAGAATTGGAGAATGTCTTAAAAGCAACCAAGCAAAGGAGATACTTGATGAATAATAAAGCTACCGATAGAGTTTTCCTCATGAAAAACAAGTAACAACTTAAGAAAATAAGATTGGAGGTAGAACTAAAGCAAAGGAGAAACAAAAAGGCAGCAAAAGAAATGAAGGAGAAGCGAAAAAATTTTTACCTTTATCCAAATTGCAAGAAAACCAATAATTTGGACAAATATTTTTATTTTGAGCTTGGACTGCACTACAAGTTCCTTAAACTTTTAGACATATGAAAAATATATAGAAAGGCAAAAAAATATAACATGTACCGAGGCTCAAGTTACATAAATAAATAATATAATGAGACGTTGTTAGTAGCTACTTGTTACTCAACCGACACTTATATTAATTTTTGGCTAATTGATAATGGATGAGGTTATCGTATATAACGCTCCTTTTTTTTTTTAATTTCTTTCCACGGCGTAGGATAAATAAACTCATGACCCTACACGTAAATTCTCATGTCAATTTCATCACTCATAAAGAACCTTGTCCACAGTTTATTGTCAAACCCAATGAAAACGTACAATTCCACATACACATCAAATGACCACACCATATCATACATATCCAACAAGTCAATATCCACACAAAGCGAAACTGTCACATATTACAATCCACCCCAAGGAAACCCTTGCCCTGTGGCGCTAAAGACTAGGCTCCGTAACCAGCAACTCAGATCCCAGCTCCATCCCTACTTCATCTGTTAATGACAAGAAGTGAGTTCATATACTCAATACGATAAAAATTCAAGTTGCAGGCATAACATGCAGTGATAAGACATTCAGTATGTATATATGCATCTCTCTTACACTCCCCAAGCCATACCCTAAAATCCCCCTACAACTAGCCATCATTAACTTACCCCTGAT